AGTAATTTCATCTGAGCTCGGGGGGGGGGGGGTGGATTTTAATTTTCTTCCGACACACTTGTATTTTCTAACAGTTCTACCTTTCATGCACATTATTTACATAATTCAAGTATTAAACACTTAATGAAAAACGTGGCCAAAGAGTCAAGGGTAGAAATGTTGAGCATCCAGGAAGAAAAAAAAATGTGTCAAGGAAGGGTGAAGGAACGCACGGAAGCATCACAGCTAGTCAACTCTAAGGGAGAGTAGTCAGCTCTAAGGGAGAGGAAGAAGAGGCACAGGTCTAAATTTGTCTCTCTCTGCATCCTACAAATCCACAAGTCTAGAGCTTGATTCTAACCATCTAGCTGGCAGGAGTCGGCCAACTCAAGTTCAAAGCCAAGCAAAGAATGGTCTGGACAGCTTGATTCACATTTGGAAGGAAAAATTATAGATAACATAACTTTTTTTTTATCGATTAATCTGTTGTTGGAAGCTCTGGCATTTCATTTTAGATGAAATGAAATATTATGCAATTGTACAAAAAGATGAAACCATGCAGTTTGCTGCAATGTGGCTGGAGTTGGAGGTTATTATGAGAACTAAATCGAGAGAGAAAAACAGGGATCAGACGGTGCCAACAATCTGTGGAATACAGGAAGCCAAAACATGGGAATACCCAATATCAAATAATGACAAACCTTTGACCTTGGATTACAAAACTTATCAATATATTTTAGGGAGATCTGGAGATGAGGGATAAAGACAGGAACAGAGGTGACATCGAGTGACAGTGGTGGAGGGTCATGAGCACTTGAGGGAGGGAAGGTACAGTAACTATGTCAATTCCATAAGTTTTAACATTATTGCAACTACATTACATAAAGTATAATTAAGGAAAGAATTAAGTTAACAGAAAAGAAAGAGGAGAAGGGTAATAGTTTTTTCCTGGGGTTGGAGGGGGTCCTGGAGTTCACCCAGGTTTGTCACTATTATTTGCAGAGTAGCTGCTCTCTACCCTTGTTTGGCATCTCAAGCTCCAGAAGCCACTTAAATGTGGGCGAGCTATTTTCCAGAAGTAAATCTCTTAGACAAATACCTTATGTGCACGCTGGAGTGGAAGGTGCTGGGCTGTGTATTGGAAGGCTCAGCCAGAGGAGACAACTATCTCTTTTGGCACAGGCTCTCAGGGATGAGACCATGTCTAGCGGGGATTTTCTCCAGATTCAACAGCCTTGGCCCTACCCAAAGGCACAGCTTTGTTTTTGCCGTACATCACTCATTGAGAGTTTTTCTTTTTTTCTTTCAAGCTTCTACAGGTCAAATACTGTGTGTTCCCAACAGTCTTGGACCAGCAGAAAGACATTCATTTTGCTCAGTCCTCCTTTAACATTTCTATTGTGTTCCATTTCCCACTCCCCCTCCCAAGTCCTCAGAGAATAACTTCTTCCTTGTTTTAATAACTTGGATCACAGTCAAGGTTGATCTGTTTCTCCATTTTGCAGAATATTTTCGTCAGGAGAGACAAAACAGAGGTGAGCAGAGTAGTCGAGGCTTCTAAGCAGCCTTAGAAAATTGGCAGCCAATATGAACACACAGCAAATGTTTTTAAAGAAATAAAAAGCAGACAAAGCAAGGTACCATAAACAGAATTATACATGAAAGTGAACTGGTGCTTAAAATGATCCCCTTGCATTTTTTTCTCCCAGGGACTCACTCTAAAAACTTACTTTGGGGACCAGAAAGATAGCACACATGTAAGGCACTTGCCTCGCATGCGGCTAACCTGAGTCCCAATTCTGGTACCACATATGGTTCCCTAAGCCCTGCAAAGGGTGAGCCCTAGCACAGAACCAGGAGAAAGCCCTGAGGACTGTGGGGTGTGCCAATAAAATAAAATAAAATAAACTCTAATTTGTTTCATTTTGTTTGTGGGTGAGCAAAAGGGTCAAAGTTAAGACTTCTGTTTGTGGTCTTAACTGTTTATGATCCCAGTGGGCACTTAAGATATTCAGAAACAAGTAATAGAGCTGAAGAAGCGAGATGGCAGCTGGTGGCAAGCTACCTTTCTTTCCTGGTCTATCTTATTTTCATCTCCTTGCACCTCTGCTCTCACTAAAATTCTCTCTCTCTCTCCCCATTATGTTTAACTGCTCCATGTAGTCTGAAGAAAAGATAGCTTCATAGAAGTACTAAGGACACAAATAAATAATCCTTGTCATCTTTATTTTTCAGAATGATGTTTTCAAGCAAAGAGGACGCAAACATTTTGTGGGAGTGTAGTCTAAAGTACACGATCTTTTAAGAAAACTGCTAATGCCGTTTTTATGAGTGATACGATAAATATTCTTTCTTCCTTCAAAAACCATCATTTTTTTCTGTTGCAGGTCTACCTTGTCACCATGATTTTCTTACCACTAGTTACAAATCGTATCAAGATACTAGTAAGGAGTTAAAACAAGAGGTTATTTTTCTTTATCTTTCCTCATGGAGCTTGAGCTTGAGTCTGGCGCCTGAGACCACGGAGCGATAGTACAGCGGGTAGGGCGTTTGCCTTGCAAGTGGCCAACATGGCCAACCCGAGTTCGATTCCTCCACCCCTCTTGGAGAGCCTGGCAAGCTACCAAGAGTATCTCGCCCGCACGACAGAGCCTGGTAAGCTACCCGTGACGTATTCTATATGCCAAACACAGTAACAACAAAGTCTCACAATGGAGACGTTACTGGGCCCGCTCGAGAAAATCGATGAACAACGGGAGGACAGTGCCTTATTATTATTATCCTCACGGAATGTCTTCACTCAGATATACTTTCTGTATTAATGATGTTTTTAGACCATGACAAAAGAAAGTAAATTCAATAATACAGGTAATAATGATGCCTACCCAGATGGTCTCTCCCCTGTGGAAAAGGCAAACTTTTCCCCTCATATAATAAGACTCAAATGAACTCTGTTCTCTATAGTCTATAGGTTTGGAAGAAAATGCTAAGGAGGCACTACTTTTAAAAGCTGTAAAAGAAGCAAACTATGGTGATGACACATCATGGGTTCTGAAATCAATCTATACATCATTGATGGCACTAAAAAAAAATCCAGAATAGAGCAGTAAGTAACAGCATTACAGGACGTAGGCATGGTAAGTCTTGGAGGTGAGGGGTGTATGCGTATGTGTATTTGTGTGAGTGTATTTGTGAATGTGGATGTATCTGTGTGTGTTTGTATAATGAATATCAGTGTAAAAGGTATTTCTAATTGGCGTCACACTCTATAAAACTTCAGAACTCCCAAATTAAGAACCCCGAGACTCTGGAGTCAGCCAGAAATAAGTACATTCCAACTTGTCTGCTCTGTCACTTACTCACTCTGGAACTTGGTAAGGTGGATTGATCTCTCTAGCCTCTTCATTAGAAAGACTAATAGGACCACAGTATCTGAGGATTGTTGTGAGACCAAAAGAGGAAACATATAGAAAGACTCTCTCTTAGGGCTCAATAATATCAAAATCCCATCTTAAATAAACTCAGTCTGAATTGCATTCCTTGAGCTTTGATCATTCTATCATATTTATATATATAACTTTATGAATCAAGTATTTAATATACACATTTTTATTTCAGAAATCCTACTTTAAAAATGTAAGCACCAGTGAAAATACTTCTAGTTTTTTAGACAAGACTGAATAAATTATTCACACTGTATTCTTACAATAGGGCTTCTGACACCCCAGCAAGTGTCTACTATCAAGTTTAAAGACCTTAAAGGTATCAAAATTATCTCCATTTTAGAAAGACCCACATTAAAACATGTGCCAAGATCCCTTATCTGCAATTTTTATAATCAAGCAAGCAAAAAAAAATCCCTGTACTCCAGCATAAAAGGAATGTTTAAATTGAAACATACTGTTCAATTCATAATTATGTTCCCTATGTCCTTGGCAGTTAGTTTGTAGATAGTTACTAGGCTAAAGAGAAAAGGAAAAAAGAAAGGGATCCAGGAAAGAGAGGGTCAGGCTAACAAGACTGAAAATATAAGACAAGTTGGGAGTAAGAACAAAGGTAGAATGTTTCAAGATGTCAGCAGCCCCTTGGATGGAAGTGGGGAGAGGAAAAGTTCCAATCAACAGAAAGATTTTTAGTCTAGGGTCTAGAGAGAAAGAAGATGATGAGATTTGGACAAAACAGCATGAAAAATGTGAACTGGAGATAAAAGATATAACGGCAAGTCTTAGAAGACAAAGAAACACTTTGGTCATTAGGGAATGATCAAGAAATAAAATAAAACAGGACTGAGTCAATGAAAGAAAAAGGGATGAGAAAAGAAAGGGTGGCTAGTTCAACTGTTTGGGGGATGGGTAGGGGGAGAAACTTTCCTTTGCAAAAAGTCGAGTCATATATTTAAAGTAAAAATAAATTTTTCCCTGAAAAATTTGATGGTAAGTAGAGAAAAAAAGCAAGTTATGGTATGAACAACAACAACAAAAAACATGACTTATCAGGTAGAAATATGCGTAACACTATTATTTTAGTATTTGGTGAAATATTCATGAGGAAATGAGTAAGGTTCCTATTGCATCATTTAAAGAATTGCTTCTCATTTCCATGAAAATTGTCTTCATTTTTTGCCCACACTATGATAACAATATATAAGAGGGGTTGGGGATGGGGCTCAAGAGGCAGAGCATACACTTTGCTTGTGCAAGGCCCTGGATTTGATGCCCCACACCAGACAGTCCAGCAGCACTGCTGGGTATGGTCTTGGTGTCCTGAGAACCTCCACTTGTGGTTCCACCCTCCCACCACCTCCCCCATCAGAGTTTTAAAGGAAGAGAGGGGAAGGGATTGGGGGGGGGGGGGGGAGAAAGAGAAGTTTCAGAAGAGAAGCATTGCAACGCTCTTCCCATCTCAGGATCCACCAACTGCTACTTTGATTACCCCTTGTCAGTCCTAATCCTGCATTGCCCCAAGCACCACTCAACAAAGCCTACATCATTCACTTTGCCATTATTGCATTGTCCACTCACTTGCTCTGCCCTTCAGTCCATTTCACTGAGCTGGCGCTCCCAGCAGCAACTCTAGAAGAGAAGAAGAGGTGGGGAATGGGGAATGGAGCATGCATGGTTCTAGCAAGACCCCCTCCTAGATCCCAGAATCCAATGAGAGGGCCCTAAAAACACAGAAAGGGAAAGTTAGCTGTCTAGTCCAGATGGTTGAATTAAGGCCCCAATGCCCAGGGGGAGGTGGGGCAAAGGTGCTAATGGTGGAGTAGAAAATACCACATAAGAAGACTGGAAAGAGCTGGACTTGCAAATCAGAACTGGATGTGAAATCCCAGTTGAATGGTTTAATATAGATGTGAATCTGGAAAATGACACTTTTAGTTGATGGCTTATTTGTAAAAAAAAGCATACCAGAGTACACCCCCAAAATGTTGTTAGGAAAAGCAGGTGAGGTGACCTGGAGACTTCATGTGGGTTCCATGAGTGTGATTTTCTATTGCTGATCCCCCTGACTATTAAAAGAAGTCCCAACTGCTCATTTTCTTTCAAGTGGAAAGAACTGCTGTCTCCACCTCGGTGTGAGAGCTTGTGTTCTCTCTAGAGTAGTTCTGTACCAAGTACAAAGAAAAAACGCTGGTGAAGCAACCAGGTATAATCACATCTAACTCTAGATCATCAAGCCATCATCATTCAAATATGAATTTGGATCCTGGATTTTGTAAACCCAAAGTATTTCTTGGTAAGATAAGATAATATGGTGACTTATAATTGTGATTAACATGAAAAAAACGCAAACATTAAATGAGATTGGATGAACACAACTTTGAAGAACACTAGAATGTTCAAGAAGAAAGACATTTAACTCCAATTCCACAGACAAAAAAAAAAAAATACCCAATTTATGTTCCTGGAAATGTGATTCTGATCACAGTCCACTAACTGCACAAGGCAGGAAAGCATCTTATACAGAACCATGCCTGTTCCTCTACAACTACAGTCTCTCCATTAAGTTGCACATGCTTTTAAAATAGTTCAAACAGACATCAGTTACTATTTAATGACAATAATATTGAAAAGACCTTACCCTTTTAACGTGGCTCCTAAGTTCATCTGATTCCAGGTCATGCATTCAAGTTGGGAAGTCATTTGATATAAATTGTCACTGTTAGAAAAATACAGAGTTAGAAACACAAAACTAGAGAAATAAAAATAGGCACTGTTTCTTCCAAAAGCAATGAGTTTTTTTGGGGGGGGGGTTGGGTTTTTTTTTTGTTTTGCTTTTTGGGTCACACCTGGCGATGCACAGGGGTTACTCCTGGCTCTGCGCTCAGGAATTACTCCTGGCAGTGCTCAGGGGACCATATGGAATGCTGGGAATTGAACCCGGGTCTGCTGCATGCAAGGCAAACGCTGTGCTCCAGCCCCAAGCAATGGGTTTTTAACTCCAGCAAAAGCACCCACATTTTCCAGAATGACAAGATATGTTAGTCTGAAATGATAGTCATTCCGTCCCACTGATCTCTGCAGTTTTTCACTTTGTACACAGGAAAAAAGGGGATGTGAGAGTAAGTTGGGAGCCTTCAAAAAAAAACCCTAGTATGGCAAACATTGAAATTTCTAAAGAGGTATTAAACCTTTGAGGGGAAGAGGCTAAAGGGAGTGAAACTTTGAAAGACAACACAGGCTGGATAACTCAACATTAAAGTTAAAAGCCTGGAGCTGAAAGTAAAAAGAGATTAATTATTCGTGAAAAGGCCATTAAGTTGTTTTAATCAAAAGGATAAGTATCATGTGGATTATGAGGGCTGAGAAGTCAAAGAGTGATGGATGATGGATGGCCCAATACTCAAGGATGTGACAATGCTAAAACAAGGAGAGGATAAACTTTGTACAACTGAAGGAATCATTATCAGTGTTACAATTCTGGAATGTAGGTTTTTGAAGAAAATAAAAATGAGAAGGCCCCAAATCTTATTCAAGTTCTATGGGAGAAACAATGGCTGATCATTTAGATTAAGACCCCAAAGGATAAAAAACATACTACACCAAGTAAATCCAGAAAAAAATTGTCCTCTCTCCTTTACTTATTCCTAGAAAGCTAACAATCTCCTAAATTTCTGAGCTCCATTAGGAATAAATTTAGTCCTGAACTGAAATAGTTAATCAGGAAACTTGAGACCCAGGAGATTAATGGTTGGTCTGAGGACCCCTGGTCTAAACACATTATTGAAGAGCCATTTTCACTCTACCTTCCTAGCAGAGATGAAAAAAAGGTAAGATGCTTTCAGTATCTGCTGCAGGGTATCAGATGGCAAATCCTGGACAATGTCCATTTTGTCACAGCATTCCTTTGGGCTGCTTCATTCACTGGCAGAGGCAACACCCAAGTTTAATTTAAAGAATGCCTGCTCAGACCAACCAGCCCAGGACCTTGTGGAGGGGTGAGGGAAAACGAGGTAACTCTGGAATAAATGAGGGCTATGCTCTTTCTCGGCAGAGCTTGATAAATCATGGTCGAGTCCATCTGCCTTTCATAATAACTCGAAAAATTATTTGGAGCTCCTTAGTGGCGGGTACACAGGATAAGGAGGAAATCAGATTCCAAGAGGGAATTTTACATATGAAATGTGAAGTGACTTCAAACTTGAAGTATGTGTAGTTTCATTAGTCAGTGTATATCTGGACCCCATCATTCATCCCCGTGTCTGACTGGCTATTATGCTACTACAATATCCTACATATCAATGAAAAAAAATGATTAGTCTCTCCTGCAGCTTCCCGTGTGCCGCCGCAGCCCGTACTGGTCTGTGCCACTATGTTTCGTAATTCCACGAATTCTTGCTGTAAGACCAGTGTAATTAATTCCTGAAGGACCCCAATTTTTATTAGAAGTGCCAGCCTGCTACATTTAACATGGGAGAGTTTCTTGAACTTTCTTTGGGCTGACAGTTCATTAATAAGCAGTCTCCTCCACACTCTCTACTGGTTTTTGTTCTCTTGCGCCTTTTCATCAAGCAATCCATTTATTAATCTTACCATTAATCTCAGCCAACAGGCATTGTATTCCCCAGGCAGCTCTGAATTTTTGTCACTAATTTTTTAAAAATTGCTCACAAACTAAAATCACTCAGCCTCATCTGACAATTTTTCTGGGCTATACCTGGAGGTGGGATTTCTCTGAAATTATTTTATCCTTGCATAAAATGAGGAGAATCATAATTTTCAAGAGAGCTAAGAAACAAACTGAGTGCACACCCAGTAAATACTATAACCATAACTGTGGAATCACAAAGTTAAAGGAAAATGTCCCAGGTATTCCTAAGAGTACACAAAGTAGTAACCTAAATAGAAAGTATTTTAAGGGCATTTTTTTACCCCCTCAAAAAATGAAAGCGTTTTCTCAATATATGATGTAAGTGACTGTAATTGTATATGTGTGAATACTTGTCAGGCATTTGAAATGTGAAGAATGCCACACACAGAAATAAGATTTTAGCTATACTGAGTCAAACAAAATTTTTAAATGAATGTCACTGTAGCTTATATATATATTTTTTAATGTAGCTTTTCAAAGGCTAGAGCCATAGCACAGCGGTAGGGCGTTTGCCTTGCACGCATCCAGCCCGGTCAAGCCGGGTTCAATTCCTCCGCCCCTCTCGGAGAGCCCGGCAAGCTACCAAGAGTATCTCGCCCACATGGCAAAGCCTCAAAGCCTGGCAAGCTACCCGTGACGCATTTGATACGCCAAACACAGTAACAATAAGTCTTAAAATGGAGATGTTACTGGGCCCGCTTGAGCAAATCAATGAACAACGGGAGGGCAGTGTATGTATAAAAGTGGTTTTTCAAATTTCGTATGTGGCTTGCATTTCTTCCCACTGGGAAGTACTGCTTTGTGAGTTTTAGAACCTTGAGAAAATCAACTTGGCTCTCTGAGTCTGTTTTTCTCATCTGTCAAATAAAATGTTAATCCCTATCAGTTTGATTTTACAGGGATGCTATGAGCCCCAATAATAGTTCTTTGAAGACAACCCAGACAACCTGCTTTGTTCTTTCATCATCTATGAGATTTCATGCTCATCCCCAGAATTTATCTGTAACTGTGTGAGGTAGGTATAATTGTGATCTCTATCTATCACAGGGTGACTAAGGCACACTTCATTTTTCACTTTTGGGTTTTGGGCTATACCCGTTGGTGCTGGGACTCAAAGGACCATATGGGATTCCAGGGATTCAATAAGGGTCAGCCGAGTACCTGGCACACTGATTACTAGCTGTACTATCTCTCCAGTGTCATCTTTGATATTTTGAGAGGGGGATGGTGCTATACCCAGTTGTGCTCAGGTTACTCCTAGCACTAGGTTCAGTCAGGGATCACACCTGTCAGGGTTTGAGGGACCATACAGGATGCCAGGGATGGAACCCCAAGTGGGCACTTGCAAGACAAGCACTCTTCCTATTCAACTATTTCTCCAGTCCCTCTCATTGCCATTTTAATAATAATAACGACATCTAATAATGAGGACGGGAATCCAGAGGGGGAAGTAAATATGCTCCAGGAAGTACTTATAATCTATGCTGTTTCCAAAAAGTAACAAAATGCAAGATGCTCAACACATTCTGTTCGGTTCACTAAACAGAAAGAGCCAAGGCCCTCGTAGTCACCTCCATCCTTAATTCTACATTCTAGTGGTATGATAGTACCTCACTCTGTGATGTGGTGGGATGGGCCAATCAGGAAGGACTTTTAGAAAATCCCCAAGCTACTAACTAGGTTTCCTGAGGCTGTGACAGGATCTAAGCACAATTCTAACCACATCCTGCCTTGTGCTGGCTGAGGCTCCGCAGAGACTCAATCAGTTGGCTTGGCTGGCACGGTCTTTCAACTGGAAGTCCATGACAGCAATGACAATAACTGCTGCTGGGGAGAGGACACAATGTGAACTTGAGCTAAAAATACTGAGCCCAAGCATGTTTGAGCTCAATCTCTTTGGGCAATCAGTCAACCCCCAGCTCTCTTCATGAAAGCTCAAGGAAAGAAGCAGCATGTTCAAGGAATCGATGGCCTCTGGCAAATAAAGCATCTAATTATTAAATCACCACTGTAGGTGTCAACTGCCTCATTCCCGGAGGAGATCAGATAAGCAGGTGGCCTGGCTCACAGAGGCTTGCAATGGTCACGTAGACACGTCAGCTCCAAATGTCTGACTCTGTCTGTTCGGAAGTGAACTCTGGAATTACAGGCTGTCAAAATAGATTCCAAAAGTCCTTTCTATTTTTTTAAGTAGATCTTTTTCATTTAAGAAAAAAAAAAGCCACTTGTTTCCTATGTAATAAGAAATGTTTGAAGTTGGAAGCAAGGCAGAGAGGAAAGAAAACTGCACTAACTGGGATTAATGCAAGTTGGAGTAAAATAAAAGGAAGTCAGTCCTAGCAAAAGGGGGAACTTAAAAGGAAATCAGTAGTAGATCATATAGAGTTTGTTTTGGCCTGGACTGCAGTATTACTGAGTGCTCGACCTCTACACAAAAAGAAAGGAAGAAAAAAATCCTCAGCTATTATCTGGATGAGCACTCCTCCACTTTTCAAACCCATGAGTAATTCAAGTACATTTTCTTTCCTTTCTTTTTTTTTCAGTGTGTTTACTATATTCAGCATAACAAGGCAGAACAGTTCATCCTACCAGTGGAAAGAGCCATCAAACATGGTTGAGATTCAGTTTTACCTCTGCCATGTAGTTGGCAGCTGGCAAAAGAGCATCCTAACAGGAGAGTAAAAAGCTTCTTCTTGCTCTGCTCTATCAAACAAAAAAGAAAGAAAGAAAGAAGAAAAAAGGCAAAAACATAACAAAGTCAAGCCCCTGAAATATAGGTCTAGCTGGCATAAGGAATCAAAATTCATATCTTTCCAGTTTGGCTGTAATATCTCTGCCCCTAACCAACAAAGAGAGCTCTGTGGCTTTACCTCTACCTGATAACCAAAACTCAGCACCGGCTGCAGCCAGATGTCCACACAGCCCTTTTCCTGCACTTTCCTTTCGGAGGCTCCTTGGAGGCTGCCTATTGAGAAATTTCTGCCCAGCAGGCCATGGTGAATAATTATTTTACAGTCAGTCTCTTGGTATTGTAATTTCTCGCGAGCTCACCAGTTAACCGAAGAAAA